CTAATAAGGTAAAGCAATAGAATAGTTTGAAAAAAGTAGATCGATAGTTAAATTAATGATGACATAGCAAGAGAAATGAATTGGATCGATACAAGAAACGCTTCTTTTTAAAGATTGTTAAAAAAAAAATAATTCGTTTTTAAAATCTATCCTAAAAAGTTAATTTGAAAAGTTTCATCATTCTTTTTTAATATTATCCTTCGATTAGACCAGTTATTCTTCAAACCTTTAAAAGAAGGAAATGGAGTGAATAGTAGAAAAATTTTTTCGTTTTTCTTATAAATATAGGATAACATTGAGCAGAAAGTGATAACAACGGCAATGGCATATATCAGCAATAACAGATTAAAATTGAAATTTCATATTAAACATCTCAATTTTTGCTGAACTTTTCCATATTAGTCTAAAAAACATCATCCAACAGGTTAGTTTTGTTAAAACCGTTTGACACCGGTTTTCATCTTAGTGGGAAAACTATTTCAGTAAGAAAACTAAGAAGCCAAAGTTGAATCGTTATGAGTTTTCCGATCTTTTGATCTTGCCGCCAATTCCTTTATCAGTTTACAAAAAAAAGAAAAAATGTTCCATGAAAACAAAGAAGAAAAAATGAAGAATAAAATTATCAAATGAAAAGATTAGGACAGCTGACAAAATTAAACAAATGTTTTACTTTTATTTATTTTTTTTTTTTTTGCTGTTTTCAAAAAGAAATAGAAAGAGAGAGTAAGAAAAGAAACATTTTTTTTTTTTTTTTTCAATACATTTCTTAAAGTATACAGACGCTTCCAGTTTTTCAGGAAAAAAATTCGGCAAAAAAATCCGGATTTAAGCAATCATTCTAGCGGTATGATATTTAGCGATTTCAACGTATCGACAGAATAATATAATACAGTCCAATTTAAAGAAATAGATTATACCGAAAAGATTTTCATTTTTTTTTTTGCAGTCAGTGTTCTCAATCATTTCCGGTCCAAAATCGGTTCACCGATTGTTATATCCAGTCGGTATGAGTGCAATCGTATTGCTATTACGATTGATATACTTACTGCTGCACTGTCACATACAAAATGAATTGATATTTTCACGAAGGTCCGATACTGTCAACAAATCAACGCATGCCTGTCAATCTTTGTTTGCATATATGTTCGTTGACATTTGCGCATGTAAATGTGCGCAACGCTGATGCGTGCCGCAGTTTTGTGGAGTTCAATTATTATGAGTGAATATGGTAGGTATTGAAAGAGAGATATGAATGTGCATGCATATCATCTATCTATTCACATCATCCTCTGTTAAGTATACGGTAATTTGTATTATTTCTACCTCAATTCTGAACTTTTTTTTTCGAAGAAAGTTTTTAGAAAATGTGATAAGTTATCAGTAAATGATAACATGTAAGTGATATTAGTATGGTTTAAATTTTATTGCTGTAAATGTATAACAAATGTAGTTATAATAAGAATATAAAATTGTGATGTTTTGATTGTAATTTCATGTTATTAGATAAATAATAATAATAAAACTTGATAAGAAAAAAAATTGATACTAATAATGAAAACCATATATTTAGTGATTTAAATTATCTTCTAAAAAATCAATAAATCATATTAGCATACACATCTATATAAATATACATTTGTTTTAACAACAAACTGTTGCACAGTTTCATTCCAAACCCATTTATTATTCTCAGCTATGTTAAACTTTGTTTCTTCTCAAAACAAATATTTTTGCAAAAAAAAAAAAAAAAGAAAAATGAGAAATAATTTTATTGTTCTCGAGATTTCCTCAAAATTATGAACAAAAGATTTTTGATTTTAATTGATTTGATGAAAAAGTTATATTATCGAAATGACTTTTGACCGCAAGTTATAAACGGTGCACTAAATCTCTATGAACTCGGTTAAATTCCTTATATGAATTTCACTCGTCCGAAAAAGTTCCAATGAACTTTGATCTATCCCTTCCCGGTTAATTTCTCCTTCCCTCCTTTTTGTCGCATTTTTTTTTTTTTTTAGCTCTTTGTATTCATTTTTAAAATATTCCGTCTTAGTAGGCCAATTGCTGCTTCTTTCCGTTCAAATGCATGAAAAATTAGTCTTTCATAAAATGGAAGAATCTGTCAACCGGAAAGAAAATAAGTAAATAAATAAGAGAATAGCACATGTTGCTTGCTTTAATCTGAATTCAATTCAATTTGATTTGATGTTCTTCTTTTCGATATCTTTTTTCTTTTTTTTTTTCGCAGTAATTCAATAAAACAATTTAAAGAGAAATGGGATGAAGATGATCGAATCAGGAATGATAATTTTTGAAGGAAACAAATCACTCTCATTCAGGAAACTATGGAAGGTAACATTTGCATCTCAAATATGTCTATGCTTTCTGTCTTAACCGGAAACCGGAAACTATACTGAAAATCTTCTTTCCATTGCATAGTATGACTAAAAGCACATAAAAATTATCTAAACGAAGTTTCTTCCTGTCTGCATCCATACAAAAAATGAATTCTTTTTTATTTTTTTATTCAAAATTTTCACTGATTTGTTAATGCTAATTCTTCTGCTTAGAAAAGTATTAAATTAAAATTCATACATAAATATAAAAAAGAGAAATTTATAGTTAAATAAGTATTATTACTATGCATGAAAATATTTCTAACATTTTTTTCTTCTAAATCATTATATGACCTATAGCGCTTAATGCAACTTTTCCATCCCATCCACTTGAACTGTCCATTTTTTCCGGCTACCGTATGTTTAAAAAAAAAAACAAAGAGATAAATTTTGTAGCAGTTTTATTTAGAAATAAAAATGGTGTATTAGTCTAAGTAATCAAGCAATAGAGTGATGAGATTAGAAAATTTTTGATACCGGATTATATACCGGGTTATAGGTCAAGTCTTTCTTCTCTTAAATTACGACACTGCCGGAAACCGGGAGCTCGTCTAACAATACTTCTAGTGTAACAATAAAGAGCTATTGCCATGATTTTTTTTTTTTTTTTTATATATATAAAATCTCAATTTTTGTTTTTCTTTGTGAATAATTACGAGCAAATTACTGAGTACAGTTATAAGGAAATAAAAAAAAAAAATCTTTTTTTAAAGTCTTCCAGAATTGTTTTTGTTTTTAAATTTCAGTCTATTTCACGACCTTGTCACTTTTACGAGAATAGATTTCACGGCTCTTCACTTTTCGTTAATCGACGAATACATAGCGAGTTTTTTTTTTTGTTATCTATGATATATATAAGATGGAAAAACAAAAATCTGATCAAAATTTGTCGGGAAATTTCCATTTCGAGATTTGTATCGAAGTTTGATTGCTGCGTCACTCTTTCATATTATGTCTTCCTCTCCTTCTCTTTTTCTTGTTTTGTGAAGAAAATTTTTTGAAATCACTTAAATATGATTGAATAGTTCAGACACAATAGAACCTGGTTTCGTTTAATTCATTAACTCTAAACTATAAAAACGACGCAAAAAAAAAAGAGAAAAAAACTTGGAAAATTTCTTCTTTGAAGAACTGTTAAAGTCACTCGATCGATAAATAATAAAAATTAGTGTTCTTTAGCATATGAATATGATGAGTAATATTGTTTCCAAGAAAATTTGAACTTTTTGAAAATATGTAGGAATAATCTCGAAGATAAGATTAGCATTCAGCATAGATAAATCAAAAAAAAAAAAAATTTACTTTTCATCCATGTATTACTTAATAAATGGAAAGTTCTAAACAAAGAAAAAAAAAAGCTTTTCAAATTCATACATTGACTATAATAAAGTAAAAACTGCAAAATATCCGAAGTAAATTTAATAAAAAGAAAAAGAAAAATTAAGCAAAAAGAAATGACTTTGAATTTTGTAAAATTCGCAACATTACTTTTGATAAAAAAACGAAAAAAAGCGAAAAAAAAAAGACAGAATGGCGCAAAAAGAATAAGCAATAAAATGTATGAAATGATGTGATAAAGAGAAGAAGAACTCGTAAAATATCATAGTTTGTTAAATTATTTGGAAACAAAATAATTTATGACAAGTAATTCGCTACCAAACATATTTTGCACCGATTGGTTACTGATAAAAACTGGTTATTTGTCTGAACGTTTATAATTCTATAGAGCTACTCTCTCTCTCTCTCTCTCTCTCTCTCTCTCTTTCCTTTCCCTCTCTCTATATATGTACATATATTTATATAAACATGTGTGTATGTGTATCATTCTGTCCGTTTTGTCTTTTATTCCGGACATTTGCGCATACTTATATAAAAAATGAAAAAATAAATAAATTAATTAATTAGTTAATTAATTAATTAATTAAAACTATCTGAGTTGCACCGATGAATTATTGATAAAAACAAGTTATTTATTACCATTTATAAGTGTCACTGAAATATGCTAATTGCTTATGCATTGCCATATCAAAATATTTTAAACTATTTACGATTATATTTGATTGGTTGAAAAATGAGGACAGATGTAATTTTCATATTGTAGTATTCTTTTCTTAAAAGGATGATTTGATGAATTTGAATTGAATGAAATCACATAAAATCTGTACCAAAATAAAATTTAAAATTTAAGAAATTTTGAAAAGATGTAAAAGAGAAATTCTAATAATAGCAAATATAATCTTTACTAATCTTATGAAATAATTATTTGAAGAAATTCCAGCAGAATCAAAAAAATTCTATTATGTCACAGCTGACTAATTGTTAAATTAATTTTTGGCAGCTTGTCTTTTCCATTGCTAATTTTAAATTTTCGTATGAAAGATGCTTATTCCATGAAGTTACGTAGAAGACAAATCAATTTGTACATATATATCATCAGGAGATGACATTTAAGCTGACTCATGAAGAATCAGCAATAAAAATATTTAAATATTTGTCAAAAGTTTAAAGAATATTTTTCTTTTGTGGCAAAAAATACTAAAATTTAAATTTATAAAACAGGATTGATCGTTTATTAGTGTTAATATGAATACTACGATAAGTAATTCATAGCAGTAAAATACTTACCATTGGTGACAGTCGAATCAGAATAGAGGTCAGATTCGTGTGAAAGACGTTGTGGTTTCGCTTGTTTCCGGCGGGATGACACGGAACCGGATGATGTGGACGACATGGTATTACTGGTGTTGCTACTGTTATCGATGATGGTGATAATGATGTTCCCGGGATACAGCACCCCAAATTGTTCATCAGATTCCGATAATACAGTCAGTTTATCCACTTTCCTTTTTCACCGGTACAAACGGTAATTGCTTGATTCCTATTTAATATTTGTGCAGTCCTTCCTTCAAAATTATGCATGAACAGAATATTGTTGAAAATTAGTTTAGTTTGATTTGATTTGTAAATTTCTTTGCTTCGTTATGTACTGCCTGAAATGTTGAAAATTTGAATTTAATCGAGATGAACTGAGAATGTAAATTATTTCTTCTTTCTATGTAAACACACTAACTACTTCAGATATTCATTTATTACCTCTAACAATGTAAAGGTAGAATGGAAAAGAGGTTGGTTTGTATTAGTGTGGAAGTTAAAAACACAAGATGAAGCAACATTTTATAAACATTTTTAAAGTATGATGAACGGGATCGACTGATGATGACATTTATCATTTCTTCCTAACTTCATCTCCTCCTCTTTCTACCTTATCTCCTTCCCCTTTTCCTACTTCCTCAGTTCGGAGGTCGTGAAATGAAGTGAAACACTTGGGAGAAAAGGAATAGAAGAAGCAGCAAAATCTTCAAACTCCTCCTGACACCATTACCTCCAACAGCACTTGACTAATGAGCTATGTTGCATGATCGAGTGGTATCCACTAAGGTATCACTCTCATCAATTAATATCAAATCATCAATTGGTCTCTTCCACTTATCCATCCCACTTTTGAATCCTATTTCAAAAATTCCTTTCTCCTACGTTTTATACCGATTAAACAACATCATATTATCATTTATTATTAAATATCAAAAAATGAGAGAGGAAAAATGGAAGAGTCATGAATAACATTGGCAAATTATCATTTAAATAAAACTACATGAGCTGATTATTTTTCACATAACTGCAACATTTCATTTGAAAAATTCCTTTCATCTTTTCCCTCTTTTCTGGGAGGAAAAAAAAAAAAAAAAAAAAAAAACAGCAACCTCTACTTTTGCCCATCTTTCCCAAATGATATTTTTTGGGAATTAGACAGCAATCAGTAATGGAATATTAATTTTTCATCGAAAATATAATAATGCGTCAAGAATATTCAACAGCCATGAATTTCCATTACTTCAAAATTTTGCAAATTTTTCGTTATTTAGAAAACCACAGAAAATGACGTCACTTATAGCTTTCGGAATGAATTTCAAATGAAATATTTCGGTTCCTTTTATTTGTGAAAAACCAGTAGAAACAAAAAAAAAAAAAAAAAGCTAAATGAATGAACGATTGACAGAATAAATGAGTAAAGCTAGTAGACTAGCAAGGTGATAGATAGATAACTTAGATAAGCAAACCTTAAACTTATTAAGTAATTAATTTTTTACATATTAGTCTGCTTGTTTGTTAAATAAAATGCTTTTTGTTCAAATATTAAATCAAATATTTTGTTTACCATCCATTCATCGATCAAAAAATCAACACATTCGAACGCTTCATTTGAAACATCTGTTAGGAAAATAAATAAATAAATGAGACTATTAAATATTTTATATATAATATAAATTAAAGTATTTCATAAAATAATTCCTTTCTTTTCGTTTTTCTTTTTTTTTTTTATGATAAACATTTTAGCATAGCAAATAATACCATTTAGTAAACAAATAAGGAAATAATTTAATGAATATAGTTTGTAATAAATTATTCAAGAAGAAAATTTTAGAATGAAATGAAGAGAAAAAAAAAAGGAATAAACAAATAAACAAAATTTTCAAATGCTAAATGTTTTTTTTTTATTTTGATAAAATAATAGATTAAATAGATTTTTGTCTGATTATCTTTACAAATATATCTAATATAGCCAATATATTTAGGTGTGAATGATGAGAAAGAATGAATGATTTTGAAATATATTTAAAGAAATAAATGATCATTGGCTGTGATATGAAAATAACTGATTGATATCGATAGGATGCCAATGGTGGAATTGATAGTATTACAATAATTGGAAATATTTCTTTGACCTCAACTTCTCATCTCTTTTCTATCTGTCATACATCGGGTTAGTAACCTTTTGTGAAAAGTTAATGACAAAGAGTAAATTTAATTCTAAATACAAAAATAGCCAATGAAATTAGTACCTTTAATTGAATACTTTTTTATGGATGCAATAAGACATAAAAAGAAATTATATTATAAGTAAATAAAAAGGTAGGAGAATGATTATTTGAATACTCAAACGTATTTATTTATTTTATTTATTTATTAATTTGATACCAATTTATCTGATTCATCGATATGCAATTCAATTTATCTCCAATACTAACTATTTCGTTTTTTTTTTAGTTAGAAAATAAAATGATGAATGTAATGACAAATGGATAAGATGAAGGGTGAGAATAGGTAATGAAAATGAATTAAATTAAATATTGATGAATCAGATGAAATGATGCTTAAATTATTGGAAAAGTTCATTCCATTTAATTTCTAATAATTAAAGATGAACAAACAATAAAATTCTTTACAAATTACTGTACTTCACTGCACTTATTCTTTTGTGAGAAGAATGTATTTTAATTTTAAATTTATGAAATATCCAGACAACAATACTTTTTTCAAAGTAATACTAAATAACAATCAAATTTTTTTGCATATAAATTCTATATGTTTGTAATGAAATTATAGAATAATTTACTGCAAAGGAATCATATGGTAAAAGCATTTTGAATCAGTGAATTATAATGGAATTGATAATTTAATAATAAGTAAGAATGGAAAGTTAGTATCAATAAAATGAATTTCTTAAAAACTTTCTTTCCTTTTGCTTTTCTCAATTGGGCAAATGATAACATAATTCTTTGGTTTTGCAAATCATTTATTTAACTTAATATATAGTTAAGTTAAGGAAATGTAGCGTGCAATGGATTATGGACAATATTTCTAATCCTACTGTAAGTAAATAAGTAAGTAAGTAAGTAAGTAGAAAAGTACGTAGAAAAAATACATAAATGAATGATAGACAGACAAAATGAAAGAAGAAAAAGTTTGTTTTAAATCAAAAAACTTATTTAAGTAGAAGAAGGTAAGATTTGGATGACTTACGTGTTATAGCTCTCTTTCAGGAAGATACACGGTTATATCCGTTTTGATTAACCGGACAGATTAAACGAAATAGCTTTATGATAAAGCATTGTAAACATTCCTTGATAGGATTATATTCGAAAAGAGTAGTTAGTCTAATGTGCTAAACTGCGCTATCATCAATAAATCATTCTTAATTTTGATTGATTAACAGATCTTACAACTTTCACTTTTAGTGGTCTAACTAGGCTTATTACTAAATGAAAATATAAATAGTATATGAAAGAGGAACTCACTTCTTCATCAATCATATCATTCCATTTCGCTTGATGATCATTTCACGTTAAGGTTATTATAACTTACGTTTACGTATACTACGTATATATTACATTGATGATACTAGTGTAAACGTCGTACACGTAAGGTTAGCTTTTACATCTCATTTGATGTTACTTATTTTCTGATCTAATGACATATGTTCTAATGTTTCGGTTCTAATGTTTTGATACATTCCCTAGCATAAATGTACAACAAGAATACTTTCATATCATTCAACATGACAACAATCATTTGACGTTAAGGTTATTATAACTTACGTTTACGTATACTACGTATATATTACATTTCTATACGAGAAAAACATTTATCACATGCATTCCATGCTAAACATATATTTTACAATATAGCCGCTGCATACCAAAAGAAAACAGATAAGAGATAAGTGATAGATGAATAAATTTTCTAAAAAATACCGCAAGACATTTTACAAAATTAAATGAAAAGAAAAGAAGTAAAACACGCGGACAAACAGAACTGATGGCGGAATAATAACAGATATATTCGAAGTGGAGCGCTCTTTTCCGACCACTTTCTTCGTTCGCTTTGGCGTAATTCAATGAAAAGAAATAAACAGATGTTTGGCTGTACATCGTTTCATGAGGAATCACATTGATTTCAAGTATTCCTGTTTAACATTTCATGAAAGTATTCCTGTTTAACATTTCCTTAATTGTGTTATATATATATATGTATGTGTATGTGTATGTGTATGTATATGTCGGAGTGTATAACAAAAATTCTTTTCATTTTTTCTTTTAAATTTACAATTTTAGCGACAATTACAAGTAAGAGTTTGAGGATATCCAAAAACATATAATGAAAATTTATAGTAAATTAGTTTACTTTGTAATTGAAAAATCATTTATTCTAAAATTTCAATTTACATCCATGTAAAAATCAATACTGAAAGTTTATTTGCAAAATTAAAAAAGAATGATAAAATTTTCTTTTTTAAATTTTTTTATGAAATGAAAAATATTTCCTTTCCTTTCCTCATCATTTTTCCACTTTTTTTTTGGGGGGGGGAGGGTAAGCATTGGGTAAACTTCCTTGTTACGAAATGAAATTGCTTCTAACTAGACGGCATTAAATTTAGCAAAGTTTTTTGCTTAACGAAGAATATATGGGAGAAGATGAATTGAGCTGAATTGATGGGAAGATATTGTTTACTGAAAGTGATGTGTCTTATAGGTAGGTAGGTATGAGTATGAGGTAGTGAGTACATTATGATTGGTATATTAAAGCTTCTTACCACGGACAATGTTAGTAAAACAAGCAAATATTTGAAAACTGAAATGAATTTGCTCCCTTTTGAAGATTGTATAGTGAATTTTAAAAGATCATTTGATCAAATTTATCGAAGCAATTATTTAATTTAACTGTAGCTTAATACATGAATGGACATTATTTTATCATTTAAACTTCACTTTAATTAGGGATCTATTTTTATGTGAAAAAAATTTAAATTAAGGAAGAAAAAACGTTGACATCAAAGATTTTTTTTTAAGTTCGAATTAAAAAAAAGAAAGAAATTGGATTAAAAATTTAAAATACTAAATAGGATATTCTAGTACCATTTTGGCTAAAATGAATTCATCACGAATATCACAGCAACATAATATTATCGTAGAAAAACGTTCACTAATTTTACTACAATAAATAACTCATTACTCTTTAACGATAGGTTTATTTTCATTAGTGATAAGTATATATGACGTTAATGACGTTTGTTACAGTGTTACGTGATTTTAATTATAATGTTTTTGTAATGTTATTGATGCTTTAAAACTGTAATGTCATATGATGTTAATGACGCCTTTTTTATTCATTCCTACCTCAAAAATATTCAAAAATGAGAGAGAGAGAGAGGGAGAGAGAGGGAGAGGGAGAGAAGTAGGAGGACAAAAAAGGAGACAAAATAGTAAAATATCATAAATTACATGGAAAAGAAAATTAAGAAAAAACAAGTTTTTTACACAGAGAAACCCATGCATACATACAGGCTGGAAAAATAAGAAAGAAAACGGAATACTTATCAGTGACTTCGTCCAATTCTTATCATTATGAATAAATTGGAAGGATATTTATTAGATTAATTCTTCCGTAAACAGTGGTAATTAGTGATAACGTGAAAGACGTGTAATAGATAGATATCTATCATAGAATGACGAATATTTGATACATGTGTATTACGTAAAATTAAGTATTGGCACAATGTTTCAGTAAATGGCACAGCTCTTTACCGAATCAGGACCACAATATGTTAGTAAACCGGAATAGATGATGCCTAGAAGGAGAAGGACATGATGATGCAATTCTTATTAGAAAAAGCAGCTCGAATTTTGATTGTCCATCGATCGGTGAACATGAATAATTTATATTAATCAAACAATAGCATACGATCAATCATGTATTTCATTCTCAAAACTCATTCATATATGTATACCGTAACAGCCTTTTAGGCCTAGTAATGGCCTAGTAATGGCCTAGCAGTGGCCCAGTAATACATATATTGTATGCATTGTCAGTATGAAAATATCTTTGAGTACGACAAAGCTATAAGATAAGGATGAAATACTACTATAACCTTTCCTATTTTGTAATTTCAAAACGCTTAACTATAATTTTCGATGGAATTAACGAGAAAGCATGGAGACATATTGTCGTAAGAGAGGGAGGACAAAGAAGGAAAGTTTTTGAGAGAGTAGCTTTGTGATAATGATAGTTGATAGCTATGACTAGCATAAAAGATTACATTACAGTAATAACAAACACTTTAGTTGATGATTATAAGTATGATAATTGTGAATAGCCATAATATTACTAATAGTAATAATAACAATTAATAACAATAATAGTATCAATAATAGTATTAATAATAATAAACAATGATAATAAATGATAATAATGATAAATAATAATAGTGATAATGATAATTATGATAAAGATGACAGTGATTGGATAGGTGGATGAATGGATGGATGGATGGATAGATGGATGGATGGTTGGGTATTGGCGACGTTGTATGAGTGAAACGGGACGAGTCGGTCCTGACACTATCACTGGCCGGCAACGATGGGACAGGCGGAGTTTATGCTTTCATATTCCGCGCCACACCCATCCCACAACCAATACAACACTAAATTTTGACAAATAATGAGCGATTGACATTGCTCATTTAAGCACACCCACACACATACACACCTACGCACATACATACACACACGCTGCCCACGCACATACACACATACACACATACATAAAATGTAGTGCCACTTTTTCAGCCGTCACTGTTGCGTGCGAAAATTGCGTCGCTATGTGATGTGAGTTAAGGTAAAGCAATAAAACTGTCACCAACTTATTGAAATTATTGCCGACATGAAGAGGCAACTCTCTCTTTGTTTCATAAATGCACGTGTAATGTAGGTGCAGTGCATGACGTAAACGTGCACGTCTGACGTATATGACGTGACGGCAGATGACATGTGTCGCCGTGATCAGCCGATTAGATTTGATATTGAACTGATGGTCTAAAGGAGACAAATATTCCATTCATTCCTTTTCTTGGCTTTCTCCGTCTACTTGGCTTCATCTCATCGATATTATCACCTATTGTATCGGTAGAGATTAACCTTAGATTAATCTTATCAGTACGAAATCCAAATTGAGAAGTGCATTTCAGCAAGAATGCATGATAAATGATATTTATATTGTATTTATGTCCCAATTATTATTTTTTCTTTTTTATTTTGTGCTTCATTTTTTGTCTTTCAATGTATTTTATTCATTGTTTTCATTTATAAATTTTCTTCATTGCTACTATGAAATTATTTTGTGTTATTTATTATTTATTTGCTTAAATTTTTAGTGCAAAAAGAAAGAATGAACGAAGGAGCTATATTGCATATATAATCTTTCTAATTACAATTATAAAACTTTACAATTTTATCTTTTCTTATTATTTCATATCAAAATTTTCCTTTCAAATACACTACCATTTGCATTTTCATGTGAAAATTCCATGGGAAGTAACAATTTTTATATGCTTTTCCTCAGTTTCTGATTGAATCACAAAAATATTATTAAAATTTTCTCACCTAAGAAATGTTTGTCCTCACTCGATCATCAAATTAATGTGACAGCAGTTAGGATGGCGATCAGCTAATCGTAAGATAGTGACGAAAACCGGTTTTTGTAGGAAGCTATAGTTAACAGTACTGAAGAATTTGTCATAAACTTATTATTAGATCAAAATGATTGAACAAATAAAAATATTGGCTAAAAATAAATTGTAAAGAATTTAAGTAAATTGTAATAAAATAATATATTAAATGGATTTAAATAATGCTTACTTTATTTTGACCAGTAAAGTATATGGGTAAACATGAGATAACCAAAATAAACATTAAGTAAAAATGAGTAACTGGATGAAATAATAATAATTCTTAGTCATCTTCCAAATCCAAATGTTGAAATTTTCAATTTTAAAACTTTAAAATGATACAATAATTGCTGTTTAATATAATTCCATTTCTCGACACACTATATTAGACTATATTGACTGATTATGTTATCAGGAAAGATTGTCAACATTTATATTAAAAAAAAATATTTTAACACACCAAAAATATTTTTAAGTTCTACATAATTCTCTCCTCGATAATATAAGTAGACTTTTGAAGAAAAAAAAAAAGTCAAAGATGAAATTGTTATTCAGTTTCCATAAAAATAAGAGAAAGGGAGTAATACTTAACTATGAATCGACATCATTCATATTAGAATAATTTGGTTGTCCGGTTCATTATATCCTGATGATAAGACGGTTAATCACTATGAAATCAATTTTTTGGAAGTAATCAACTTATTCGTTTCTTAGATTGCGATTAGTTCAAATTCTGACAACCTCTTATTTTCATTGCTTTTTCACAGCGTTAAACTTCGGGGAACGACATTTGCTTATGTATTGGTACTACTCTACTTTATCTGTTGACTTTGATTATCATGATAAGAGCTACTCTACTTTATCTGTTGACTTTGATTATCATGATAAGAGCTACTCTACTTTATCTGTTGACTTTGATTATCATGATAAGAGCTACTCTACTTTATCTGTTGACTTTGATTATCATGATAAGAGCTACTTTACTTTATCTGTTGACTTTGATTATCATGATAAGAGCTACTCTACTTTATCTGTTGACTTTGATTATCATGATAAGAGCTACTCTACTTTATCTGTTGACTTTGATTATCATGATAAGAGCTACTTTACTTTATCTGTTGACTTTGATTATCATGATAAGAGCTACTCTACTTTATCTGTTGACTTTGATTATCATGATAAGAACTACTCTACCTTATCCTTTCACTATGATTATCATGATAAGATCACTCTAACAGATTAGATTAAGTAAGGAAGATGACATACCGTTTATTACATATATCCATTCCACAAACATTAATAATACTGAATGTCTACCCGCACGTATTAATTAATTACATTAATAATACTGAATGTCTGCCCGCACGTATTAATTAATTAATTAATGATGTATGTCAATAATGTATTAATGAATGTTAGGTATGTATGTCATTTCTATGTGTAGTAAATTTTTAAAAACCCATCAGTTCAAAATGGCAAAAATCAAAAAACTTTTCGCTTCAATCTTCATGCATTTTGAAATAAATGATTAAAATGCGAAAAGGAAGAGATGAAGGTAGGAGAGGAAGAGAAGGAATAAATTTTGCCTTTTGCTGTTTGTTAAAAGAAAACGTATATAATTTATTCGTTTGCTGAAAGAATAATTTAGGTCAATTTAATTTTGTCGCATTTTTACCGTTTTTCTTTTTGTTTGACATTTTTTAAAAAGAAAAAATTAAATTTGTTAGTGCTGACAGTCAAATATAAGACATTTATCTAAATTAGAATTATATTTAATAAAACGAAAAAAAAAAAAAAACTTTCTCATTTCTTATCAAATATTATAACTGATCAGATATGGAAAAGCATTTCAGACATTTGATAATGAGAAAATAAAAGAAAGAAAGTGAAATAGAAAAGTTTAGAAAAGATATTTTTAACAAACTACAATTTCAGGTATAAATAAGGCATCAACAAAAACTTGATTTAGCGTATTCATTTAATGTTATTAGGATATATCACTTTCCATCTTCTTTAGTGAATAGAAAACCGACTGCGGAATGTTCACAATGTCTTACCTAATCCGGGATGTCTTACGGACTGCGGAATGTTCACAATGTCTTACCTAATCCGGGATGTCTTACGGACTGCGGAATGTTCACAATGTCTTACCTAATCCGAGATGTCTTACCTAATATAATGTAAACGCTTAATGCCGAAGAAAAAGAATCGGAAAAAAAACTGAATTCTAAGAGGAAATTTTTTGATTATATGTTAAAAAATGTGATAAATTTTTGAAAACTGTAAAAATAAAGGACAGGTAAAAAGAAATTACTCAGGTGAAAATGAAAATATTAGCGGACATAAGGATTACGATGAAGAGAGAGAGGGAGAGAGAGAGAAATGAAGGCAAAGGAAGAGGAGGACGAAAAGAAGGAGAACGAAGAGAGGAGGAAAAGAAGAGGAAGAGAGGAGGAAAAGAGAAGGACGAGAAGAGGAAGAGAGGAGGAAATGAGGAGGAAAAGAGAAGGACGGGAAGAGGAAGAGAGGAGGAAAAGAGGAGGAAGAGAGGAGGAAAAGAGGAGGACGAGAAGAGGAAGAGAGGAGGAAAAGAGGAGGACGAGAGGAGGAAGAGAGGAGGACGAGAAGAGGAAGAGAGGAGGAAATGAGGAGGACGAGAAGAGGAAGAGAGGAGGAAAAGAGGAGGAAGAGTGGAGGAAAAGAGAAGGACGAGAAGAGGAAGAGAGGAGGAAAAGAGGAGGAAGAGAGGAGGAAAAGAGGAGGAAAAAAGGAGGAATATGGGAAAAGGAACCGATATGAAGCATTGCACATTTATTTTGATAATTTTCTATTTATTTAAATCATCGAATTACATCGATGGTTAGATTGCCTTAGTTTTGTATCATTCGGCGGCATTCTGCTTGAATTTAATTATAAGAAATTGAAAAGCAAAATTGTGAGAGAAAAATTGAAGCCTAAAGATAAAAAAGATAAGATTGGTGATAATTTATAAAGAGAATACAAAAGAATTGATGACATTTCAAGTGGAAAAATATTTAAATAAAAATTGATATACTAAATTTGTTGATGTATATACCGTTTGAGGAGGTGTAAATAATATTTAAGAACAAGTGAAATCAGTTAATTACCTTCTAACAAATATTTTAATCAGCTAAATTAATAGTATCATAGTTTGATTGTATTACTATAATTGAACTGTAATTAGATACTTATTTGCATTTCTGTATATATCAACTGGTACATACAACGAATATTATTGGCATCACTTATGTGCTATTATTATTATTATTAATAATAATAATAATAATAATAATAATAAATAACAATAATAATAGTAATAATAATAATAAAATTCATATGCTGCATATGAAAGCAAGAAATTACAACTTATGTGAATTTGATACTGTTAATAATAATAATAATAATAATAATAATAATAATAATAATAATAATAATAATAATAATAATAATAATAATAATAATAATAATAATAATAATATTAATTGCACAGTACTTCGTTAAATTTGAGAAATGTTAAATAAAATTTGTTTTGTTTTGTTTTTTCGTTTTTTTAATGAAACTTTAGACAATGTTTTTAAATGTCTGAATTTTTACACATTATATTTTTAGACGTTTAAAAAGAATGAGACATAACTTACTGCAAATAAGAAACAATTATTATTATTATTAATTACGTTGATATTATTCTATTATTGGCATCCTTAAAATTTTAATACTCAATTGTTCAAATTTCAAATATAAACAAAAATTTAGCAATGTCACATGTGGATGTCCACTTTCTCAACTAAACACGGATTTGATATGTACACAGTGGTAAATGTTTAATGAAATGTCAAGGAAAATTGATGAGATTAAATGAACAGATGAATTAAACGAAATGGTTAATGAATACGCACCAATAGATTTTCCATAAAAATTAGCAGAAGCAGAAGGTAATCAAATTTTTGCAATTGATAAATTAATGATGATAATGGGCTCTATTTATATATGCATATGGTATTGATTTAGTTGCAATTGTAATTATGGAATGAAAAAAATGTTATATTCTAAATATGAAAGAAAAGGAGAAAATTACAGGCACAAATGCACAGATAAAATTTCATGAGATAAATAATCGATTTTAAATGAATTAACAATTAATTAGCTATTTGTCATTATCTCATAAATTACAATTAAGATTTGTTTCTAAACATAAGTGAAGAAATGCTGATAGATATAAAATTTAAAAAAGTTTGTTTGATTAATAATTCATTTGTTTTCAATTCGAATTTGGAGTTCTGTTAGAAGATATATGTAATCAGATAAACATATCGGATTACATATATATATAAGTGTTTCGATACTGTAAATCAAAACCAAAAAAGACGTACTTAATTTATCGCCAATTTTTCCTTTTTTTTTTTGAAGTAAAAATTTGGGTAAGCTATTGAGATACATTAAAAACAAAGAATTAGCAAAACGACAATTAATTGTTAGATGATATTATCGTGAACTGAAAGCGTGATTAAATAGAATAACTTGATGGATTGTCATCAAATAATCCTTTTTCAAGTCAATCCAATAAACTATATGTTATATATTGTGGGTGCTAATTTCAATTTGTTGATGGAGCAATTCTAATAATGTAATAAAAAATAATTTAATCCATTGAAACGAATTGTTGAAATAGAAGAAAAGTTTGATAGAACAGAAAAACAAAAATATTTGAGAATTATTTCTATCAGTGAAATGGAAAAGCTTGAAATCACTGTAGGCATAGTTAAAAGTAAAAAAAAAGAAGAAAGAAAGAAAAAAGTAATATAAAAGATAAATCTCATCGAACTGATCATTTTTCTGCTTACTACAATTATACTTTATTTCTTATTTTTCATCATCAATTCAAACTTTCACTCATAAACAGTAACACTTACCTTTCTATGCTTTCCACTCTTTTATTACTCAAATTTTAACTTTCTCTCTCAATATTACTTTAATTGTATGCATTATTACGATCTTCAATAAAGTGTCTTTTAAATTCTTTTCGGTTGATTTTAGCTAGAAAATTGCCTCATCATTATTTCTCGATGATAAATTTGTTTCAAATATATCACAATAAAAAAAAAAGCTAATTTTGTCCATTTGAAAACTTCAGTTCAATTTAAAATGCAATAATCAATGCTTTTACCGGCAATAATGATAATCATGATGATAAAAATGCTAACAATAGGAGTAACAAAATAACAAATGATAACAATAGTAAGAATTATAACCATTATTATTATCATTATTATTATTATTATTATTATTATTATTATTATTATTATTATTATTATTATTATTATTATTATTATTATTATTATTATTATTATTACTATTACTATTATTATTACTACTATTATTATTACTATTACTATTACTATTATTATTATTATTAATTATTGTTATAAAAATAGAGAAAGTGATAGGAGAGGAAAATGAAATGAAATTCATTAGATTCCTTTCAGCAAGCTTGTACTAATCATCAATACCTCCATTATCATTATCATCATCATTTAGAAGCAATGGAGAGAGAGAGAGAGAGAGAGACAAAGCTTTTCACTTCTTTCTCTCTCTCTCTCTCTCTTTTCAATCCCAAAAGTATATATGTTTGGAATAATGGACAACTAAAATTGCTTCAAATTGATTGCCCATCTCTCGGGACCCGTTTCTTCTTCCCTCCCATACCTCCCAAACCAAAACTCATCCATCCATATTTGTATAAGTGCATATATGAGATGATGTATTCCAGTGAATGTCATTTTCATTATCCTCTCTCTCTCTCTCTCTCTCTCTCTCTTCATAATGTCACATTCCCTTTCTTTCCTTCTCTCTCTCTCTCTCTCCTACCCACCTCATTTTCATTTCACATTAAAATTAAATATTTCGATATCGATATACACATAGATATACATATCTATATACATACGCATCTATTATACATATATATTTTTTAAAACTCCACCGTATCCTTCCATCAAAACGGACTCGTTTTGCGTTTCGAAGTCTCAAAATTTAAATGGCAAAAGAAAGAAAAAATAACTTCCGCTATTCTTGAAGGAATTTCTTTTTCTCACCGTTACTTTTATTATTTTTCAAAAATTTGTAAAAAATAAATACGACAAATACATCTTGAAGGGATAATAATAAAAAAGAATGCTGAAAAAAAACAAACAAACAAAGAGACTTAAAGTTGAAAGAAAAAAGAAATAAAAGTAGACGAACGTTTTATTAAATATGAAAAAGATAATAAAGGAATAATCTGGAAAAGAATGTCGGTTTTTCTTTTAAATTCTTTGTAATATTACTAAATAAATAATTATTTCACTACCAAAAATAATGAATGACTACATGAAATATCATTAATTGCTCATTTATTAGAAAATAAATAAATACACATACAGTAAAAGGGAATGCTTTGAAACTTTGAGCAAACAAAAAGTAATTGAACAATAGCTGTCAAAGAATATAAAATATAAAAGTATGAAATATGGAATGATTTTAATGATAAAACAGGTTCCCTCTGATCCCCGACACATTGAGAAATAAATACCAAACTACAAAATCACAAATTTGAAATCTGATGATCAAATAGCTAAATGTATTTGCCATCACTTGAGCTAGTCAAAAGATCAGATCAATCTTCCAATAAATTCTAGAAAGTCAAATTGGACTAATATAATCACTACCCATCAAAAAATGATAATGGAATTTATTTAGGAAGGGGATAAGTCAAAGAAGAGCAATTTCAAAATTCGATTTCTTTGATTTATTAAATATAATCCGCTCGAGAGTAATGCACTCCTAAATAAAGCCTAGATTTTACGGAAACAATAAACAGAAATCTTTCAGAAAAAAGGAACTTAAAACTCTGAAAGAATGAATCAAACAATTGGAAAAACATAATAAATTTTTTCTTTTCTTTTCAAGAAAAAATAAAGAAAATTTTGCGTTGTAAATTAAAATTTTTGAAGGACAATTAAATATGTTTTTATTTCATTTTATCAGTTTCATTAACATTTTCATTAAATCATTTATTCTTCCGTTCCTTTTATTACCGAAAAATTTTCGAAAGGAAGCAAAAATGATACTGTAGTATTGGGGAAGATCTATTACAAAGCAATTTTATATTTTTGAATGGTAACTTTCAGCAATAAAAATATAAAATTTTTTTTTTTTGATGAAAAAACTGATAAATATAAAATTTTTTAATGAAAAAAGGAAGTTCTATTGGCTTTCATTATGCATTATTATATAGACCAAATGATATTACTGTATACAAGAAGTGAGATAATTACATGTATCGATAATACTGATAATGTTTTAAGCATATGGAAATAAAGAACCTCTAAAAAAAAAATAAATAAATAAATAAATTTCAATTGAAGACAGCAATAATTGTTAGTTTTCTCGAAAAAAAAAAAAAGATAAACCGTAATCTAATTTTGAAGGTCATAGAAATGTCGAAAATTCATGTTTACTATTCAAAAAACATAAAATATTTGATCATCATGAAGTGCAAGCAAGTTGAAAATATTCCGAATGAATGTTTAAATTTGAACAAATTGTTAAAAATCCAGTCTTCGATCAACCCATAATCTATCTTTAAAATTTTTGAAAATTTCTATCCTTTTACTTTTTCATCAATACATATATGTTTTCAAGGTTTTGCAAATATCATAATTATTAATGGTAGTGTTGTAATTTACATAAAAATTCTATTCCAAATACAATATTTAAAAATAACTTTTGTTTTCTTAAAC